AATTTAGCCCATGACAATTTGTATCATTCATTAAAAAATTACCATGTTTTATTGAAATATACTTGTTGAAATATTGTTCATAGCCTTGAAATATAAATGAAAGCATTAATGATTTGTATACTGAGATTCAGAATAAAGTCTAGCAAGCAACGTTTTCTGCTCCAGATTTAGAGTTTTTCTCAGTTGTCAGCCTTTCCATAAGTTTATTGCTTAGTCAGTCAACTCAAATTGAATAAAAATGTGAAGAAAGGCAGAGTTCTTGTTGCATATCATAAATGTGATTTCTTATTGTAAAACATTCTGGCCCATATTTTATTTTAGAGGAAAGGGCTTACAATGTAACCAAAATGATAGATATTTCTATTTATTCAATAAATTTGGGTTTATAACAATTTACAATCAGATCTCTTCAAAAAAGCTGACGAATCACTTGTATGAGACAGAATTCCTCAAAGTCAAAACACAGAAAAGCTTATACATAAATGGGGGAATTTTGTGGAGCAAGACAACCATATGGAGCTGTATCGATTACGTTTTATTTCACTACTAATTCCATGCAAATGTCTCTTATTACCATAAATTTTGGGTTACAGAACCTTCAAGAAAGCTTTAAACACATTGCGATGAAAGTCCGATGCATGAACACCACTGTTGCTTTACATTTAACTGTTGCATAGACTAAGAATATTCTACTTTTACAAATATCAGCAACAGTCAACAATCATGGAGCTAATTAATGGCAACTAAAAGACAAAAAACCAAATGTTTCACATTAAACCAGAACAAGTTATTAACTTCCAAATAAACATCAATAATTTAAGAAACTTACTAATCATTGATTTAAATAAACCGAAGAAAACATGGTAATACTCATTAAAATTTAAAGAACTTCTGCATTATAAACAGAGATGTGTAGTGACCTACTTCTATCAAGAGAACGCGATTGATTTAATGGAAACAATCATTATTAAAACCAATTGTACCAGTGATTGTTTTACTGTGCTCGTTTGTTTAACTGTTCTAAAGACATCTATATTACTGCTCCATTATCTTTCGATTGTGACCTTGCACGGGTTCGGTTACGCTCGGTAACCACGCTTGTACTCCTTTGGCACGATCTCGGTATCCTTTCGATACCACGAGATCGCCAACAAATACATCTCGACTACAGCCATCAACTGCCTTCTGATATTTGGCTTACAGTAGATTTTATCGGTTAACTGGCACCTAGACTTCTTGTAGTGGTGTTCATGGTCAATTGCGACTCCACGCCACACTACAGATGGATGGTGGCTTGCAATGGAATCTAAAATGCACATTTAGTCCTATACCGGACAGGTCAGCTGGTTATACCCGAATACCAGAGTTGATGCTCATTCCGAAACTCGTACCCACTACCCTCCATTTCAAACTTTATCGCATTATCCACTTCGCTAGGTAGTCCAGATAGCCACTAGCTTGTGCAAAATGCTTGTGACTTACTAACAATATCGAGGCAAGCCACACAGGATTCACATATACCGAAATCGAATGATCATTTGTAGTCTTAAACATTATTGGAAAGACCTAAACAACCAATATATGAACTGAAATTTCTTCATTACCTCATAAGATTATATGACTTTCAAGTGTCCTGAATAATAAAAGTTATCAGTAACCTTAAGAATAAGGAGATTATTGACAAAATTAGACAGTAACCCATTGAACAACTTTACATTATATTGTTTATGAGTAGTTATGTAAAGTGGTTTGTCTTCTTATTTTTTGATTAGTAAATAAACAGTTCTAATTCGGAGTATCAAACATAAAAATAGGGCATTTTTGGTGCATTCAGTAACAAATCCAGTTACGTAACATAAAATTTGGTACGATTTTGACATTCGAGTGGTATTGGGTATGTAGCTGGCGTCACAATCTCAGTGTTGAAACATCAATACCTTTTTGTTTTTATAAGCTATTTACGTTGCGGTCACAGGGGATATGATACTGACAAAGTAATCAGTGTCTTTCTACAAATACAAGACAAGTATGACAGATTATAAATAATCCACCATGTTTGAATCTTTACAAAACAATTTAACTTGGATAAAAACGAATGGACAGCTGATGCAATAATGCATCTTCATACTTACTCAAGTGTTTGCAACTTAAAACTGAGAAATACTTAAATCTATAGTGCAGTAGAACATAACTGTTATAATGAATGAAATACAGTTCGACAAGTTTTAATAAGTTACGTCAATTCGAAAGTCATATTTCAACCTGACTACTCTTAACACGTCGAAATATTTGAGGTCACTTTGAAGGATGAAACAGGTATTTAGTGTTTGACAACGCTTCTACCAGTAACACCTCCTAATATGATTCGTAACCACCAAGAGAAATCAAAAGACAGAGTCGAGGAGATCGGAAGAGTATATTTGGCGATAACCAATATATTGGAATTCTCTGATCTAATCTGGCTAGCGATTGCAGTAGCAGTTGAGCACAGCGTTACCACACGTGATCTGGTGCGGATGCATGACCGAGCGCCTTCAGCTAGATCAGTCCACTAAAACATATGGCCAGCATCCAATGTCGAAAACTTACAGGGCTATTTATTTTGGGGATTTATTTACCGCTACAACTTCATGAGAAAAACTTATTTCGATTGATGAGAATACTCAACGTTACCGACGCCACTATATTATAAATAGACTAAAATATTATTTTACAAAACTTTTTACCCCTTCTTAATGATTTCACTAACTGAGTCTGTACCATTTCTAAAGCCATTGTAGGTTCTAACATCAGATAAAAAAGAAGAGTTAAGCAATGACGTAAACAACCACCCCCCGTAAAAAACATCAATGCTAAAAATACACCAACCAGAATAAACAATTCATACAATTTAAAAACTGCCTTGAAAGTTAAAGGAATAACTACGACGCCTCACACAGAAAATCGAGATTCTTCGGCAGTCATTAGGCTGATACCCTTTACAATAGCCATAGCAACGTAGACCGAAACAAGTATGACCAAAAGGAATAAATCTCTAGCAAAACCCTGAAAAGGAACAACAATACGACAATAATTAACAACAGCCGGGCAAGAACAGAAAAAGTAAAGAAACACGGTTGACTGGATAGTGAAGACCTCCACATCGGAGAGAGCATGGAATACAATGAACAGCTAGGAACCAATTACACGACTTGAACTCCGCAGATGACCTGGCCCTTCTTCTATCTCAAACACACCAACAAATGCAGATCGAGACAGCCAGTATAGCAGCAGCAGCAGCTTCTGCAACAGTAGACCTCAACATACCCAAAAAAATGCGAGATCCTCAAACACAACACGGGGAACACCAACTTAATCACACTTGATGGAGAAGCTCTGGAAGATTTGAAAACTTTCACGTACCAGGTCGGCAGCATCATCGACGAACAAGGAGTATCGGATACAAACGTAAAGACAAGGATTGGCAAAGCATCAGCTGCATTCCTGCAGTTGAAGAACATATGGAACTCAAAATAACTGTCAACTAATATCAAAGTCAGAATGTTCAATACGAACGTCAAGACAGTTCTACTGTACGGAGCTGAAACTTGAAGAACTACCACAACCATCATCAAAATCGTACAAGTATTTATTAACAATTATCTACGCATGATACTTAGTTTCTGTTGACCGGATACCATCAGCAACAACCTACTGTGGGAGAGAACAAACCACTTTCCAACTGAATAGGAAATTGGGAAGACATTGGAAGTGGATAGGACATACATTACGGGAATCATCAAACTGCACCACAAGGCAAACGATAACTTGGAATCCTGAAGGGAAACGGGGAAGAGGAAGGCTGAAGAACACACTGCTTCGGGAATTCGAAGCAGATATCAAGAGGATGAATAGCGGCCGAGAAGGAGCACTCAAGATAAAGATTGGATGTAGACTGCTGATGGTCGGCCTTTGCTCCTCCACGAGGGATAACGGGACTAAGTAAATAGTTATCATACTAGTACAGCAGATTAGTTCAAAACAATGGGCTAGAAACCTTCAGTAAGCTGTTGAATACTGTTCATCATGCTCCTCTAATCGGTTCTATCCAATAGACAACATTCTTTCCGGTAAATTTTCATCTTTTCTTCAGGTTCATTCAGAAAGCAGGATATCCTAGCTAGCAGGTAGTATGGGTCAGGGTTGATAGACATTGTATGATGTGGCCTCAGTAGAGGATTACTTAAAGTAAGCCGTCACATCATTCCAAATTATACCTACTGGATGCAGAGCATCAAGTGAATTGCGTAATTAATCGTCTTGTATTAGCTGCTGTGGAATATCCACATTTCAATCAAGTGACCAAGTATGAATCATGATTGATATATTTGTTTGGTACTGCCGCATTGATCTTTTAGTGACTCGTTGGTCTAACTCCAATTTAAAAGAACGAATAAATATGCTATGAACGTAAACCTGTCATTTAACCACGCATATTAACTAGGCGAACCCTGCTTGTGTGACTACAGTAATAAGAAGCCAAATACGGGTTGCGTTACATGAATTTATTTAAAGCACTCGTTTGTTCGGACAGACAGTCGGAAAGAAGATGCAGAGAATGTGAAACGAAACGGAGAAGACGGGTAAGGCAATTCAGTTCTGTAAAGTGTGACCCAATATTTACAACCAGACTAAAATAAGTCACAGACATGTGATGAGTAGGGTAAGCAATACACACACATATCCTCATCTAAAAACGGTCAAGTATAATAAGCTAATGATCTACAAGTTCGAAGTGTGACTCAAGGAAAATGAATAAACCGGTTTGTCCGGAAGCTAGGATAACTTATGTAAGCTCCACATAACGATAACTAAAAGTAAAGTGTACTGTACTTTTTCGCAAAAGGACTGAAAGTGACCACGGTTGGTTTGATCAAAATATATCGAAATTGGTTGATAACCCTGTAACTGAAAACTTAAAATGGATCAACATTCAATTCAATGATTCATAATCGCATTCTTAAAGTCAAGGTCAGTCGAGCACAACCTATTTTGGTAGACTGGTTTCGTGCGCCTCGAAGTGCAACCATATATGTGAGTTATGAATGGTTTTATTCTTTAACAAAAATTACAGATTTTCACGTTATAACCTTTTGGGATTGTCAGCATTGTGGTACTCAAAATGTTAATATTATATGCACATTTATAATTATGTACTATTATCTGATGAATTACTTTAGTGTAGGGATATTTGGTCACAAAATGTTACGGCCCATCAACGAAACTCACCATGGGAAGCCGATATTGTTCGCAATTTCATCTATTTTGCAGGCTATATTGATTAGTGTTCATGAACCCGAGCTCCCGATTTTGGGGAAAATTTGACCCATTTTGCGAAAACCGCCATTGTAAATTCCTGGGGAATGGCACCAAAACCCCAACATTTCCCCCGAAATCCCCTTTAATCTTGGTCAAGGTCATTTGACCTTGGAGGTTTACCGAAATTCCCCCAAATTTACCCAGAATTCCCCAAATTTGGGAGATTGGGAACTAATACTGCAGTATTAGTTCGCGGGTTGATGTTGCTACCTGTATCGTCAAATCCACACCACTTCGCCAATACTATTCTTTATTTCGTTTCTTGTCTCACTTCAGTGGTCGGAAAAACCGTATTTACGAGACATCTATGACAAGAATTCTGTAAAAATACTGGGAAAACGACACATTGGAGTTCCTTTCCAGACCTCCGGACTAACTTACATCCCATGAAATTGATGTCCTAATTATGATCGTCTCTTAGCTTCGCACTCAGGAATTCTACTGTTTTATTACTCCTGATACTGTTGCTATATTCACGGCTCTGGGATTCGTCTTGATAATTTTATCTCGCTAGACGCTCTGATGTAGTAATAGTGGCCGGTGACTTTAATGCTCAAGTAGGTAAACTAAGCGATAGGGAAAGACACCTAGGTGGATCTTATGGTGTCGTGACTCAAAGAACAGATAATGGCAACCGTCTGTTGCTGCTATGCTCAGATAACCGCCTGTTCCTTGCAAATACTAACTTTAAGCATAAGGAAAAACATCTTTTAACGTGGCGACCCCCTAATTAGTCCCAACGTTGGACCCAAATAGATCACATCGCTATCAGCCACCGATGGAGGGGCTCGATAGAAGACTGTCGCTCACTCTGGAGCACATGCTTAGATTCAGATCATGCTCTAGTGCGAGCGCGTATTTGCTTGCGTCTTACTGGACGTAGGAAAGACGCTGCAAGGAAACCTCTTAGGGGCCTACTTAATGATAGTCAAGCTAAGAGTATATTTCAGGAACAACTAGGAAAACAGTTAGGCAGCCATGTATGTGATGCCCACCCCGATGCAGCATGGAATGATATCCGAAAAGCTGTGGAAACAGCAGTGATATCTGCTAGTAAGGTAAACCAGAAGGTTAGGGAGCAACACTGGATCTCAGCAGCATCTATTGCACTGATAGATGCTCGGAAACTCATTCCACCTGGCCCTGAACATAATGAAAAGCGGAGTCAGCTTAAGCGCAAGCTGACAAGAAGCCTACGCAATGATTGCGAACAGTGGTGGGTGGCGAAAGCAAGAGAGATGGAAAAGGCAGCGGCAATAGGTAATAGCAGACAATTGTTCAGACTCGTTAAGGAAACCGGTATTAGGAACCCGACCGTTAGCGAAACAATCTCAGAGAAAGATGGACATATTATTCATTCTCAATCCAGGAGATTGGATCGATGGGCAGAACACTTTAGGGATCAGTTCAACTGGCCTTCAGCCACACTTCGGTTCCCCACGATCTCTAGTCGACCTGAATGGCAAGTTAATGTAGGTCCTCCGTCCCTTTACGAAGTTGAAAAAGCCATAGGAAATCTGAAACGAGGGAGAGCAGCAGGCGCTGACAGGTTTACTCCTGAGATTTTTAAGGATGGTGGTTCAGTATTAGCAATGAGATTAACCGAGGTCTTAGGTAGGATTTGGGAACTGGACGTAATCCCATCTGACTGGTCTCAATCACTGATTGTGCCAGTTTATAAGAAAGGACAAAAGTCCTCTTGTGACAATCACAGAGGAATCAGTTTGACTAATATAGTGTCTAAAATATTAGCCTCAATAATACTTCGACGCCTAATCAAAGCTCGTGAAGAGCAGATTAGAGAAAACCAGGCCGGTTTTCGACCTGGACGTGGTTATATAGATCAGATATTCACACTACGCCAGGTTCTAGAACACAGACACTCGTTCAGACGCCCCACAATTGTAGTATTTCTCGACCTTAAGGTGGCATTCGACTCTGTTGATCGTGAGGTTCTATGGCAGTGTTTGTCACTGAAAGGAGTACCAAAGAAGTACATTAACCTTATAAAGGCTCTCTACTCGAACACAACTGGTAGAGTGAGAGCTTATGGCGAACTGTCATCAGAATTGATTACCTCAAGTGGTGTTCGTCAGGGCTGTCCACTCTCCCCATTCTTGTTCAACTTTGTCATTGACGTACTTTTAGAGATAACACTCTCCTCATCTAAATTTACAGGGGTTGAACTTCTACCGGGAGGTTCACTTGTTGACTTAGAATATGCTGATGACATAGTTTTATTTGGTGAAGACGCTGACAAAATGCAGAGTCTTCTGACCACTCTAAGCAACAATGCAAGCATGTTCGGGATGCGATTCTCTCCCTCGAAATGCAAAATGTTGCTTCAAGATTGGGTTACATCGACACCCGAACTAGTGATAGGGAGTGAAGTAGTTGAGTGTGTCGACCGCTTCACTTATCTTGGAAGTCTCATCAGCCCTTGTGGTTTGGTGTGTGACGAAATCTCAGCACGGATACAGAAGGCTCGACTAGCTTTTGCCAACTTGCGTCATTTATGGCGTAGGCGAGATATCCGTCTATCAACCAAAGGACGCGTTTACAGCGCAGCAGTTCGCTCCGTCCTACTTTATGGCAGTGAAACATGGCCGGTAAGAGTAGAGGATATCCGTAGGTTACTAGTATTTGATCATAGGTGTCTTCGAAACATTGCTCGTATATCATGGGACCATCGAGTAAGTAACACAGTTGTTAGGAAACGGGTACTAGGTAAGGATGGCAAATCAATTGATGACGTAGTGAAACTTCATCAGTTGAGATGGCTGGGACACGTGTTACGTATGCCCAACGACCGACTGCCTTGATGTGCGATGTTTTGTTGTATAGGAGTAGGTTGGAAGAAAGCTAGGGGCGGCCAGACCAAAACATGGCACATGTCCATGAAGTCACTGACAAGTGGACTGAGTCATGTTGGTAGGTGTAGACTACCTGGTTGGGATCTGAGAGACGATAGCAACCGATGGTTAGAGACCCTGAATGACATGGCTCAAAATCGTTTGCAATGGCGCAGGTGCATCCACTCTTTGTGTTCTCCTAAATTCTAATCTCCTGAATCCTCCTTTTTTCCTTTTTTCTCCTTCCAAATTTATTTCACTGGATTATACTTTTTAAGTAACATCTTCAAACCCTAATGTTTCCGATTACTGCTTATACTCTTACCACCTCTACCACTATGGGATTTGAATCGACCACTGCATCTCTGTGCTAGTGTGGTATGGCAACTCGAACTGATGTACGTACGTACGAAGTTCTACGTTGTTACTGACTGACTGACTGATCTCGCTGTGCTTATGTAATTTGACAGACTGACCAATGCATTTATGTCAAGTTCTTCGCTGCAAACGACTGTTTGAGTTGTCATTAAGGTACCTATCTTTCACTGGAATTCAGCGTTCAGAGCTAAAAATAAGAGATTAAGATACTTCTGTTAATCCTAGCAATCTAAAATTGCATAAGCTCTCGTCCCGCATCAGAAGCTTCAAAAGAAGGCTTTAATACTTCACCCCCTGGTTAAAAAATATGTCTAGTTCAAAACTTAGAGCGGATATCTATTAATAATTGTTCGAATAATATGGTGAGTTGAGTGTAATTCTGATAATTAAATAGTTTGGATTATATTATTTAGGATAGTGGAATCCTAGATGCACCTATATTTCTGTCCTGGACACGTCATCTGAAAGAATCTGCATTTCAGTATTAAGATTCCCAGTGAAGTTCAATACCACGATAGCCACTACCCGTTCAAAAGGGATATTTATTAATAATTGTTCAAATAATATAGTGAGTAGAGTGTAATTCTGATAATTAAATAGTTCACTTAACAAACCTAGGGGAGCTGAACCACATAATTTGTCGTTTATTCGTCATTATATCACAAAAGTTGTTCTTTAATTATATTCTATTTTGGGATGTTTTCAATTTTCATACATTGATTAGACCTACGAAAGTCAATTTTTCTATAAAAAAAACTAGCGAGACCATTTTGCGTAAGCATTTTGATTACGATAAGTCCACTGTCGAGCACCAACGTAAATCTACGGCTTGTCAACTTTGAGGATGATATGCTTCAAATATTGGTAAGTGTTCCACTAACAAACCAGTTGCAGGTGTTTTGTAAGCCTACCAACACCACAAACAAAATACAGACATTTATTGACTGCAGTTTTGGCGGTTGGTAATCAAGGTCAAACATAAAGAGCATCTAGATATTCAAGCATCTCCTACAGGTAGTAACAGGAAACATATATATCAGTCACTAGCTTCCTGAATTGTTTGATTGAGTAAGAGAATACGACAAGAAGTGACAGATTGAATAATACGACACACTGAGTAGATTCCTTGAACACCATGTCCGTAATACCGTATTTAAAAGTTAGTTATGATACAAGATAAATAAATGTATATCAGGGAGAAAATCGTAAATATATATTAGATTATTACAAGAGAATTGACTAATTGAGGTAATGCTAATAATACAAAACTAGGCTAGTCGACTTAAATCTATAGTCTGTCAAATACGGTTTCAAATGATTGAATTGAACAATCATAACTGAAATATCTCAGTGCTATCGTTTCTTAGTATGATAAAGAAGTGTGGCGGCTCACAACTCTGAGAAGGCATCAGCATCTTTGAAATGCCACACACAACTTACTGATGAGTATCAACAAGCAAAAACACCAAGTCTAAAGCTTCGATTACACTGGCATCATACTGTGATATCATTAGACGCAATGAGTCAATCCAGGTCAGTCAAACAATCACAACGTAGAACCTGGCACGTATGTACATCGGTTCAAGTTGCCATATCCCATTAGCACAGAGAGATGAAATTGTCAGACCGAATCCCAGAATAGTAGAGGTAGTAACAGTATCAATGATAACACGAAAGATCAGGCATCAAAGACACGACTCAAAGAGAAACTATACACTAGTGAAATGAAAACAAAATAGTTATGAGGAATTTAGAATTTCAGGATTTGGGGAAGACAAAAAACGGATGCACCTGTGCAATTACAAACGATATAAAGCCATGTCATTCAAAGTAATACAGTAATACAAACAAATACGAGTCTACACATGTGCTCCAGAATCGGCGACAATTTTTAGTCGAGCCTCTCCAACAATGTCTAATGGCAATGTGATCTTTTTGGATCCATCGATGAGTTGGTTGTGGAGGTCTCTATCTGACAGTAACCTGCAGTTCTAAGGTCACGTATTACAACTACTAAATCTATGTAATCGGTTACTTTGAGTAATCCCATTTCATTTATTGTGTAGTTTTTATCACAAAATCTTCTGAAATTTATAACTAATGACCACTGATTTGTTCACTCAACCAATCCGTTTAAGTCTTTGTGCAAACTTATCAGATACACTTTATATGCATTCCCTTATTTTAATGCCACTAGCAAGCAATGGAGCAAATGAATGTGAATACTTGATAGATTATGCATGTAAGGTAAGAACGAAAGAGGGATTCAAATTGTTGATTGGGAAATTCCACTCTCCACAGATTTTCGTGATGTCAAAGCATCTTCCATCGTTTTCGTTCAACTATCTCACTACTACCCCTTAATGCCTTGGTACTACCCAGAGTGGAAAGAGTCCGCTCTTTTCAAAATGCCTTTATGCGATAGTGTTTATAATATCCGTCAGGTAAGTCTTGCCACGGTAATGTGGCGGTGGCAAACTTCCAGAGTTTAAATGGCGTCGACAGATACGGAGGGTCTGTTTAGGATAGTTTCAAAGCTCCGGTCCCAAACTAATGGCGTACATGGGTTTCAAGAGACAACATGTACGGATCTGTTTTTGTTACCAACTACTATAGAACCTCATCTGATGTTACTCTACTGACTTGTAAATTGAGCCTTTAGTTGGAAGTCTCGTAGCGTTGGCTCTTAAGAAAACCATCTGCTTCTGTTTGGGTACTCCGGCAATCTCCCACTCCATACTTGAATATTCAGTGTGACGCATACTATTTTCGGTGCTTAGTTGTACCAGATTTGACGTGAATAAAATCATGAGCTCACCACTGGGGAAGATAATATACATATTCAGTGCTAGCACTGACTTCTGATTCGATGTAAACAATATAAGAACTTATTACTGTTTGTAACTTAAGAGCAAATTTAATGTCAATAACAACTTGTTGAATGTATTTTCTATTGTTTCCAAACAAGAACTGTGACGTGTGTCACTCATGCAGACATATATAAGTAGTATGTATCAAAAATTGGAAGTGGGATTATTACTGACAAAAGAGGAACATCATGAAAAGAGAATGATGGAAGCAGTTCAAGCAGTAATGAAAATGCAAGAACGATGGAATTTGTAAGAGATAATTCAAGGAAGATATGCAAATGATGTATTCAGTGTATTGTTTTCATATTTTAGAAATGCAGTATGATTTTACTTAATACAATAAATTAGTTTGCCTCGCCCAAGTCATTATAGAACCACTTTAATAATTAAAAATATGATAAATATTCCCATGGATGCTTCAAATTTTCCCATTGATTATCGACTTACTATAGTTAAAGTTTATCTAGACACTTTTCTTCCTTTCTTAAACGTAAAAAATAAAGCTTCCTCGAGAAGTTCTCTGGTTATTGACCACACTTCGAAAAAAGTTTTAATTTTAAGAAATACATTCACAAGCTTTCTACTTTCTGATTTTATTGAATTAAGTTCATATCTACTGATATATACAACTAGTTAAAGTATCTTAAATGATAGTTGTTATTTTTTATTTACCGTGTCATTTGTTTTTTTTTAAATCATGTGTATTAAACAGTTTATCGATGTTGGAAGAAGTTAAACATTCTACTCCAGACTTTCGTACTCAGAGAAGAAAGTCTACCAGAAAGAGTCTTCTTATATGTCCTCCTTGTTTGACTGAACAGAATTTAAATGAGCATACTTTATCTAGTGATGTGAAGTCAGATAACGAAATTAATGACGACGGACTAACTGATGAACTTGCCAAAAGGTATCAGGGTGAAAGTCGGAAGTGGGATCAGTTGGTAGAAGAATATGAAACACGTTTGATTCCGGCCGATAATCGAATCGATATGCCTTCCGAAGAATGGATTAAGACAGATCGTGTAACCCGTAAATATGAAGATATAATTTTTCCCCAAAAGTATTTTGATTCCTATGATTCCCTGGACAGTTTGGCGGACTCTCTTCTAGACACACATAATGATATATTTTTTGAGTTAGAGAAACTTCCCCATTTAATCGAAAGGCAGGATATGTTTTTAAAGAGCTTTCGGAAAAAAATGCGTTTGAAACAAAATGTTTCTCAAGATTCATACTTCGGTTCAGCATCACCATTGTCTGTTATATCTAGCTACCTTGGAGCTGAAGTGTGACGTTTTTTTTTAAATATAAACTTGTTTCCACATATTTATTAGGTCAATAGTTTCATAATACATAAATCTCAATAGAAAACCCTTAATTCATAAAACGATTATTTGTATGGTGTTTCATTTTTCATTAAATGTGTTGAATAGTATTATCGCCATTTCGCTTGCGGATAAGTCTCGTTCTTTGACAAAAAAGATAGAAACATGTATTCTGCTTAAAAAAACTACTTAGATGTGAAATGTCAACAACCTTAAGATCGAGACTTGAAGTCGCCTAGTTTACTATTAAGTATAAACGCAGATTAGTTTAAATGAACTTCGTTTCATTCTTAGGATTTGCTCACATAACCCACTAGTTTGAGAACTGAGTAGTGACTTTCTTTTTCACCTTGGTGGAACGTGAGCCAAAAACTCGAAGCGAAGATTTTTATCAAACAACATGTGTTACTCAATTACAGTCCTCGTATATTTTGTTGTGAGACCAGTAGATATTAACTGGGATATGGTATGAATCTTTGCTCACTAATTACAGCTGTTATTCGTCTTTCGTGATTCGGTTAACCTGCAATGTTCTTAGAATTAAATCATGCTAGACTAAGTTAGGAATTATTTACTTGTAATTGGCATTGTATTGTTAGTCATTCAACACGAGCTCATTATGTGCAGTTGTTAATCCCAAAGTTCAATAGTTTTAGCTGAAGAGAAAGTTAGATAGTGGTTGGAGGTAGTCGACAGGAAACCCTGGACCCGAGTTTCGTGCTACTTGGCACTCGTCAAGCAAGGTGTGCCTGTAATCTTTAGGGAACTGGTGCTCCCTGGCGGATTCGACCTTATGTCACCCAGCTTCACAGTCACAGACGCTACCACTGAACCATCCGAGCCGCGACCGACCTCCTGTAGGACTGAGATGTGATCACAATTGATTGCGTGTCTAGTCCTTATTAGTGCAGATCGAATGATATCAACCATGCTGCAATGTGGCCACCAGCCTAGATGACTCGACACCGCGGGCACTATATATTGAGATTAGATGGTGGTTGGAGGTCGATAGCATTCGATCTGCACTAATAAGGACTAGACACGCAATCAATTGTGAAGAGAAAGTTTTTACTTTTATCTGGTCCCATAAGATGCTCGAACGATTTCAAAGTACACTTATGTTAGCACTAGTTTCTTCATCAGCCATGTATTTTTATATTTGCTAAATTTCGATTTGTTCAACGCCTTTTCTCAAATTATATATGATGTGTTTTACATGTAAACGTATAAGGTAATTAATACAAAACACTTAATCTAAGAAGTAAATTTCAAAACTTTGGTTAATACATCTAGTTAAGACGACTAGATATATATTAGACATGTGATGCCAAAATCGCAAAATGAAAATAATCACTACTTCGAAATCATCTTATTCTTCACATATTGTATTCGATTTGAATACTTTCTTAACTTTTATCAAAGGTCTGATGTTATAGAACGAACGAATTCTTCGTAGTGCACGTTACCATCACTATCAACTTTAGCTTTTTCTAACATTGCATCCATTTCCACCTCAGTCAGATTCTCACCCACCGTACACAGTGCACGACGAAGTTCAGAAGCTGAAAGGAAACCATTATTTTCGACATCAAATGTACGGAAAGCTTCAATGATATCTGATTCCGTGTATATTTCATTGTACTTTCGTGATGCTATTTCACAAAACTGATTGAACGTTATACCTTCAATAAGTGCTGTTTTCTCTTTGTCCACGTCAGCTATCAACTCCTAAAACCCAACAATTAATACATCTTTTGATTAGTTCACTAACCGTATAAGCTAATGGTGAAGTTAATAATGTACTCACTGTTTAAACAGAAGCTAAGTCATCTCAGTACTAATAGGATCCCTGTGATTCTTTCCTACATTCCTCTATTAAGTACCGGATTCACAACTTTGTTGTTCACTTATAAAGCTCCATAGGTACATGGTGATACTCCACCTACATCCCTGTTTTTTAGATTCGGAAGATATTTTGAAGTTAGGGCATTGATAAATAGATTGCGATTCTGTCTTAATGGTATTAAAAATTATCTGAATACCTAAAAGATAATAGATGTACAAACTGATTACATGCATCTAAAATTATGGTTTTTAGGATCATATACTCCTTTCTAACCCACTAAAATGTTGTATCACTCTTGTATTGGGCGGAAAATAAAAGAATGGAGAAGTCAACAGTGGGTCCGGATATGCGCTTTCATGAAACCAAAGTGTCTTAACAGGTGCACGATGCTTACACTAATTATTACAATAGATGTCATATGTATTTATGTAAGTTTCCTGGATTTCGTGTGTGGAGTAGTCAAACTTCTTTATCACAATAGGTAATGAAATATGCACCACTACTAGGAGTTGGCAGTACTGTTTAGTCCGTAGCGTGCACTGACCTAAGACCACCGTTTGGTGTAGTAATGTTTTCATTTTGGATAAACCGAACTAGCGGTTACTTTGTAAATAAGCACTACATACTGAAAAAGTTGTTTCTCAAACCAGCTGTAGTAGTTAAGGCAGGTCTGACTCTCTTTTTGTAGATGTTTCCTTTAAACTTCTAGTTGCGTAATTCTTGTTCCCTTTCATCTATATAAGACCCAAGTCAATAAATACAGGTAATGCATTATCCAGTAGTAGGTAGCGTGCTTCCAGTATTTGTTAGCTACTTAGTTCCAGGTCACATTTTGCAGTACCTTATATGATTTAGACTTTCGTTTAAGGACCATATTGATGAAACAATATTTATTTGGTTTTTGCATTAAGTATTATTATCATGTGGTGTTTGATCTCGAGACATCTAACTTTATCGAGTGTTTCTCCTTTGCTGTTCAGTATGCTACATTAAACCTTAGCCTAGCTCATATCGAACAGGAATCATTAGTAGTTCTGTCCCGTTAGGCAGAGTTTATGGAATTATAATTGAGCTACAAAGATATAGCAACAGACTTAGAATTATACTAGTCGGTCAGGACATTTGTGTAGAAATGTTATTATTAGGTTACATTTAAACCGCTCATAATATAACTAGCATTCGTCTTTGATAAGTGCATTTGCACAAACTTTTACGAAACAACTGGAGAGGTAAGTCAATGTATCGCTTTACTAAATCTTAATGCATATACTACGGAAGAAATAGTATCTTCCTAACTCTTCTCTTTCTGTATTTATAAACGCATCAAATATTTCTTCCCTTGGTTTGTTAGAATAAGTACTAGCTTGAAGTATTGTTGACATATTTAATCCCGACTACATAAGTCACTAAACTCATCACATTAGTTAAATATGTTTACGTCATCATAAGTTTAACCAGTACATTGATTAGGTTTTAGACCCTTAATAGTGGGGTTTCCGGCATTCCAAAATGGATAAACTCACCTCAATTTCTAGGTTTGATGGCATCAGACCTACTCTTCTTATTAATACAGTTACATCTGGGACGGAGACCTTCCCCGTTTTGTCATGATCTAATGCATCGAATTGTGCCTTGTATTCAGTTATCGTCTCCTCCGTTAGTTTAGCTTTCTGTTTTTTGGCGGATGATGTCATTTTTCATCTTACAACAAGAGATTTTGAATACGAATGTAAAAACACAAAGAGAAGGGTCACGTTAGTCAATCCGAAGAACCAAAATGTACGATATTTGTATCTTAAATATCTTAGGCAGTTTTTAGCACATTTTGTATTTAAATCCATTAATAATAGTTAGTTCCCGGGAATGGTATTCGATGCACTTTAGTATACAAATATGGTCAGGTTCGTGCAAATTGCTAGGTAATGATAGTCAATTTAGGTTACCCTCTTATTACTTCCGACTATACTGTTGGAGGAGAAATTGGCCTACTCATTCTTAATAAATTTGCAGAGATATCTATGCTGCACAAGAGTGATTGTCTAAATCCACCAAGTTTAGCAAGAAGATTTAATTGAGCACTAAATATGAAGTCCTTGTCTTGACATCAAATCCTATTCTGAAATTAAGCATCTTACTAAAGGCTTGTCCTTTTCAACATTCACTAGCAAATCCAGTGGAGTATCCTGTATTTTAACAAAAAGGAAGGACATAACTGTCTTTTGTGCGATCCAAATCAGAACATCTGATTTGCAGCACTGCAAATTATGGTTTGCTGATCGTAATCCAGTGAAATCTAATAGATTCAAGCCTGAGTTGCCAAACACTACTATGACAAATTACTTGCATATTCAGTCAATCAACTATACGAGATTGGGTAGTGTTCGTATATAGGTTTGGCAGTTTATTCAATCCCAGTTAAAAGGTTACTTATGTGGCTATCAGAGTCATGGAAGACGGCTCACGTAAACAGCGTGTCACCTACTATGAAGTAAATACGAACCATGAACATAGTTAAGCTTATTCCAGCTGGTATCAGTACCAAACGCTGACCACCTATTATTATTTTTAAAGTATCACTTCTCAACACCCTAGAACCGTGTAAAAAGTTTTATTCAAATAATTCACATATTAGTGCCATAAATACAACTTGACTTATAAGTATTCCAAAATAATCATGTCTTTCTGTCTAGGTATCTCCATTGACTATGTAGTTTCATCGTGACAGAACAAGTGAAAAAAACCCTGGTTATATTAAGTAGAACGTCACCATGTTCCTTTTATTAGCCTGAGACCTTTCCGAAATAAGAATATATTACACAGCATAAAGTTTATACTACCTTCCTACAGTTTCAGACGCCTCAAAGTATGAGACCTTTTTAAAGACTTCCCCGATAATTTAGAGATCAAATCAATCAGACGGCGTACATCCCTTCAGAAAGTGTTGTGTGCTTTCAAATAAAGTTCTTTGATAACATGTTTAATATTGACACAAAATTGTTGAAAAACTGAAAATCTCCTTCCTAAGGCAGTAACGTAGTCGAACTTGACTTTTTGTTCGAGCTACATTTGGATAATTCAAAACTAATCATGGTTACTGAGTAAATATTTTTATTACATGAAAAATTATATTTCGATCGCGTTTGCTCAAGCAGTAACCATAGATTTCAAGGTAACAATTGAGGCATTCAAACTCAGATGTGAGAGAAATGATTTTTCCCAACCACCCTGACA